CTTTGCAATTAAGAAAGCGAAACTTTGGAGCAAATTTAACTGCTTTTTATTAAAAGGGACCAGCATGTTCACATTTCCCCATTCCTGTTAACGTTACTTTACAGAGGACCGTGAGTAAGTAGATGTTTACAGAAAAAATTTATAAGGTACCTGCCCTGAAGAACACCTGAGAGCCTGATCCTTCACCCACTACTTGGCCCTGTGGACTAAAATGCAGTCTTTCTAGTCTCACCCATGTGATCACGTGCAGAAACTTTCTGCATACAAATGGAATCACTGTTACTTCATTTTACTTAGGAAAGAGTATGACTGCTCCTTTCTGTGGTTCTTATGCTGACAAAGTTTAATATCACAGGGAACTTGATTTCTGGAGAGATAAAAGGCTCCCATTTTAAAAAAGACCTTACCATAAAAGTTCAAATAAGTATATTTTAGAAGTCATTAATGATGATATCATCTACTCCCAAAATGTGTATGACATTTAACAATCACATTTGAATCATGTGTGTAAGCAACCACATTCACAGCGAGCAGATGAGACTGATTATTCTCAAGTTCTGCTATAGAGTGTAGAGCAACCTTAGCTAAATCACATGTACACAGGTTATCATTTATCCCAGCATTACCAAAACTGTAGAATATCACAGTAGATGGAGCTTTGAGTTTCAAATTATCCTGATGTACAAATTAGCCCTGATTTTGATTTCATGTATTGCATACAAGTTTGCCTTCAGCAATCAGAATTGATGACAGGAAACTGAACAATATTCATAAGAGGAATAATGACTCAGTATAGTTCATTCAAATAAGATTATTTTTCTCTTGTTGCTATTGCAGATGCTTAAAGGGATAGTGTGCAAAGACTACCAAGACCTGATTAGCCGTATTTGCAGCTGGTTCTAAATGTAAGTTCATACAGGGTGCCCTCACCATATGTTTAAAAAAAAAAAAAAACACCCCAAGCCCCGCAATTCCTGTAGTCTAATCATAACTTAGAAAATGAATCCAGATGTTAGCTCTTCTATGGGTTGCAGAGAACAATTGCAGCATTACTTGGTGGTCAAGTAAATTAATTTCTTGGCTAACAGCAGTTTGGCTTGGGAGGCTTGGAATTGAGTTTGCATCTCCCTAGGCGGGCAGGCTATCCTCCAATCTCAGACACGCTACATATAGCAGACAGCTACAATTCACAGAAAAAAAAAAATCATACATTGTGGGTCAGCCAGCTTTCTCATGAATAGCTCAGCTGGCAGGGTGGTACCCAACAGCTGTACCCTTACAGAGTAGAGAAGTCCCCAAAATATAGAACTTGCAGAGCTCTTATGGCTGTGTTTTAATTTCCTTGTGCCTTACTTTTTCATATTAGATTACAAGGGTTTATTAGTTTTTAAGTCTTAAATGATTAAAATAGGTACAGGGCTTAAGTTCCTTGATATAGATACCTTTTATAAATCTTGCTATAGATACTGCTGCGTATACTTACATATATATATCACATATATGTGACTTTTAAGCAACTTGCTTATTCAAATCAACCTTAAATCTACTTTTTCCAAGAATAATTTGTCATGACAGAAGTTGTACATTTTAGTGGTGTGGCTGAAAGTCATCAGACAGCACCTAGTGGCAGCGGATTGTTACCCTATAGCATGAATAGAGATGGTGCTAGAACTGTACAGAAAAACATGTGAAAAAAGGACTAGCACTTCTTTCTTTAAGGATAGTATGATCTTTAAATAGCTTTTTGTTTATGGTATGCAGTTCATAAACCAGATCGATAGCCCATGAAAAGGCACCACTCAGCCAGCGCCACTTCTGCCTAGAGAAACACGGCTCTTAACGCAGTGATGACTGCCTGAACACTCCAGTTCTCCTTTCCGCCAGCCACAGCCCAAAGGAGACCTTGGCTTCCTCCTGCTGTGTTGGGTGAGGGAGGAATGGGGAGCAGCTACTGCTGCAGGAGCAGCACCTTGCCCTCCTCCTATCCCTTTTCCTATTTCTTGACCTCTGCTGGTGGTGGAAGCGGGATGGCAACAGCCCAGGAGGGAAAGAGATGGAAAAAGGAGAGCTGCTTGCAAAGTGGGGTGAAAGGGAATAGCTGCTTCCACTGGGGCCGGTGGGGAGACAGAGGAAGAAGGGGGTAAAACAGTCTGCTGTTGCTATATTAACAGTGGGTCAACTGCAGCTAAGTGGGAAAAACCGGAATTCTCCAAAATCCAGATTTAGTCCTCACATACCATCGCAAAGATTGGACCATCCTGAAACATTTTTACTAGTCACATGTAATAAGCCATAGAGTAATATCTACAATGCAAAACTTTTTGCTAGTTTGTATTTTTAAAGCACATAAAACTGTGTGGGAGGATAGGTTCCCCTATATTCTAATCTGATTGTTCTCACTCGTTCAATGTAGTATATTTACCCTGAAAGACCTATTTTTAATTTCAGAAAAAATTATCAGTCAGAATATTTCTGAGATGTTTTAGCTAGAATTCCATATGAGTTAAGAGTAGCAGGGAGACAGAGTAGAAGGGGATACCAATAAGCATGGAATATTCTCATTAAAAAAAAAAGTATGTATTTGGAGCAGTATATTTTTATTTTTATCCTGTTAGCTTCCGTCCATCTTATGTATATTTGTTAATAAAATATGACTGCCTGTAGCCCTTTCCCAGGGCATAATACCTGACTTTGCTAGACTCATTCAAACTGCATCTTAGCCTTGATTTCAAATCTACAGTAACATATAATTCAACAGTAGCAGAACTTGACTCAGTTCATTCAACATTAGCCTGTCCTACTGATGATTGTATTATTAGCTGGGAAAAGGTGAACGTTTCAATCAGCATGATGAACTGATAAAGCAAAGTTATGAGGAAAGATCATAAAGCTTAAAAGAAAAAGACTGTTTTTGTTTTTTATAATTAAGGATATACACCTTTTTGGTCTACTTGTAACACCAGCAATCACAGGATTTGGATCTGATCCTGGTCCTAAGCTACTGGAGATAACCCACAAAGGGTGGATATATACTTTGTGGTAGCCTAAGATCGCTAAACAAGTTGTCTGATGAGAAAGTATTACGGCATGTTGGTATTAAACTGATGGATACATTCATTGTCAATATAACATCTGCACACACACTGTCAGTTTATGAAGGTTTTTGTCTGGATTTAAAAGGTCATTCAAAGGAGAGAAGCCATGTAAGCCTATAAGTTTTTCCAAAGTGTGGAGCAAGAGATCACAGTCAGCTTTATTTCCATTCCCTTAGCTTTCCTCAGGCACACACAGTACCACCAATGGTTTCTGTATTCTGTACGTTGTATTCCACAGCAAGAAACGTAGCAGATCTCCATTTGAAAGAAGGAGAGGTGTGCTGACCCGGTAGCTGCGTAAGTGTTAACAGCTAAAGAAACTTCCACTTTAAAGAAAAGTGGAATATTTTACAGTACTTATTTTACAAACACTTCTGCTACTTTCAGCCAGATATTAAAATTTTTTCCAGCATATTCAGCAGAACTACCAACACTGTCAAAATCTATTTAAAGCTGTGCCTCATGTGTTATCTTCCAATGGGATTGTAAATGTTAATGAGACACAAATTACTTTTGCCACATCTATGGCCCACTTTTAGCATCATAGACTTGAAGTAACAAGGTATCTGTTTAGTTTTTAAGGAAAGAATGCTACACAATGATTTTGGATAATGAAATCCTTATTTAGAGAAGAACACTTTATTAATCTCAGCTTAGAAAAAGCGCAGATGAACATTTCCCATTGTGCATAATGCACTAAATGCCTCAATTTCACAGAAGAGCTCAGCAGTAAATCCGCTTCCAGAAAACAATCTAGCGCTGCTACTGCCAAAGGTGTATTAAAAGGTAAATATAAAAAGACCCAGCCATTAACGGATCTACTCAGGAACAGTTATCACATTTTCAACTCTTATCTTACTCTAAAACTAACTTGGCATAGATATGCTGAAAATTACATACCAGTAACTCGCATTATCTGGTCAGCATAATCTCTCTTTCCTTATGATCACATCATCCTTGGGGTAAGTTAGTCCCTGTTCCCTGTGCCAAAATATTCTTTAAGTCCAGTTAGTCTAGTCTAGTTAGGGGAAAACCACAAAAGAGAAAGCACCAGAGAAATGATTTTTACCATCCAGGGATCAACTACCAATTTCCAAGCACGGGGTCACACAAATGCGAAAGGTTACAACTCCCCCTTGATAATGCAGCATTAATATAGAAACAAGTATGGCACACTATGTGAGTAACAGTATTTCCCGTGGATCAGAACGCTTTGTTTCTACCTGGAAGTTAAGTATTATTAGCCCTCATTTACAAATAGGAAACTGAAATGCCCCCAAGTGGAACAAGGTGGCAGAATTGTAGAGGGAGCCAGTGGCCATGCTAAAAGGCGTGTCCAGACCCTGACTCCAAGTTGCTTGTTCCAAGTACTAGACATGCTTCTTGCACTGTTGCTTGAAGAGGAACAACAGAAGGACAGCTTAGCTGGGGAATGACAGAGATGCTGGGCACAGAAAGCTACGAGAAGAGAGCATAAAATAAGCTTTCTGTATGGTTGCGTTACCATGCTTCAGCTATAAAATTAGAGAAATCACTCCTAAATGAGAAATGTCTCATTAAAAGATAGTAAAATAATTTCTCTCTGACAAGGAAAAAAGGCTTTTCAGCACTTCTACCACTTCCTGAGTCCCTTATCTCAAATGATGGCCGCTAACACTCAGTAAAAATACGTCTGAAGCCCTAATTCAAATATTTCTATTGTTTGGGGGATTATGAAAAAGTTAAGATTGGGATCCTGATTGGAATTCTGAATACTGCCTATTATCAATATCACCTTCCGCAGGAATAGATCGCAGGATTTGTGAGGATTATCTGCAGAGCACCACAAGACTCACTCTCACAGCTCTGCTTAGTCAACATTTATATAAAAAGTTACTTCCAGGTAAAATAAGGTTATCACAGTACCTCAAACGTCAGCAGGGTATAGATGATGCTTCACGCCTCCCTCAGATCAACTGCAAAACGTGACGACCTCCAGCCATCCCAGCGCCTATGCAAAATCAGCAGAAACAGACAACAGATGAGTTCAGGCAGGACAAAGGTCATGACGGAGGGAAGACGACCTATCAAAGTACTCATGGGAGTCCTGACACTGTCCTCCGTCAGGAAAGGCCTCCTCAGGAAAGGCCACCAGCTGGATGCTTGAACAATGGACGTGACAGGCCCACCTGCACTTCTCACTCAAACAGCGATGGCTGCCTGAAATGTCTCCTGTCACTGGTAGCCTGCCAAGCTGCAGTATCCTATGCTAACCTTGACATTAAAATGTATAAACACAGATTTAAATGGCCAAGAGAAGTCAGAGAGACTGATCAAGACTAATTTTCTATGCACATCTAAGGTATAAATCAGCTGGACTGGAAGAAAACTTCAAATTATCGAGAGGGTTTGGATGAATAGTATTTCACTCCTATGACTCTGGACAACAAATTAGCGTGTCATAACTTACAAACTGCTAATTTCAAGAAAGTAACACTACCTTTTCCTCTGAAAAGACAGTTTGTAAAACTCACAGGAAGATGGCCTGCTGTTAAAAAAAAAAACTATAGCATTTTTTCTGTTCTGAATTCCTAAGCATATTTATCACTGCCATATTTGGCACAGCAGCACTGTCTAAAATGGTCTGAAATTAGTAATATTTTTACACTTCGGTAAAATAAAAATATTAATTCAACATGGAAGGTTACTTCTTTCCACGGATGGAAGTGATGATCGAACCCATTTTTCTGACTAGAATAGCAATCAGTGTGTTTGTAAAAAAAACAAAAATAACAGGTCCAGGGAAAATGCAAGGCCAATAAAAAAGCCTTGGTTGGTTCTGCGAGCACAAGCAACAGACATTTTGATGAACACAGGCGACACTGATTTACCCTGCTTGAGCAGGGGGGTGGGACTAGATGATCTCCAGAGGTCTCTTCCAACCCCAACCGTTCTGTGACAAGAGTTTTCAAGCAATGTGCTGGTTTGTACTGCCAGGATTAATTTCTCTGATCTCCTTGTTGTCAGTTTTGTTAAGTATTTTAGAAAGTCAGCCATGGTGCTGACAGTAATTGAGTAATTCACAAGAATTTGGTTTCTACTGGGTGGGACTATGAAAAAAAGATCATATCTCACAATATCAGGCTCCTGAAATAACCAGAAACAGGAAGCAGTCTGCAGAAAAAACCAAATAACATTCAAAGAAATGTTGTGTACATTCAGACTGAATGCTAGGGCCACACTGCACTAGCCTTAATGAGAAGGAGGTAATCATTTAAATGAAAGTTTTCCTTGACTGAGAGCAGGAACTAGCTTAAGAAAGAGCAGCAGAAAATTTGATTTATACCCATAAAATTTACTGCCTTTCATATGTATTTTTTAATATACAATCAGATCCCTAAACAACAAAGAATTGAATGCAAAATGTGATAGACCGTGAGTGAAAATTTTGTCATATTTCTCAGGAATCCTTCTTCATTGCAATGGTAAAAGGCTAAATGGCATCTCTGTAATAGAGTTAGAAAAAAAAAAGAAAATAGTAACAAACAATCATCTAAACAAAAATCCTTGAACTGAACAGAGAGATAAATTAAACATACGTCGGAAAATAAGAGACAGAATTTTCCACGCAAAAGCAAGAATAACATGCAACAGCAGTCAAGGTTAATATAAGTCAATCTGTGTGTTGTTGGCCAAAATAAAATCTGTAAGCAGGGATCTCTCCTGATCTCTCCCCCTCATTAAATAGGAGGGCTAGATAACTTGTTACATGACAGGGCTTTACATTTTACAGCACAACATGCACAAACAAGTTGTGCATCCCACTTTTCAGAAAGAGCTTGCTCACTTTTTATGAGGTTGAGGATCTGACTGTTTGTCCAGTTTATATATATTTCTGATAGGCTTCCAACATTGATTTAATTTGTGATTTTCAAAAGAACTCTTAACCTCAGAAAAAAATGATTAACCAATAAGCCGCAATTCTCGTTTTCAACAATAAAGGGCCAGCTTCGACTGAAATGAAGTAGTAATGCCCAAGGCAGCTGTTGACTAAAATGAGCTAACAAGGACTACTGACGAACTCCTGTTTCAAAATACTTGGTAAGGTATTAGCAAGTGGAAATGATCTTCATGTGACAAAGTCAGACTCCTACTACAAAAGTAGAGGGAAAAATTATTCCAGTAGCTTTTCCAAAATATTTTGAAATCCTGCTCAATAGCACAAAGATTTAGCTACTTTAAGGGTAACAGAAGGGAAACGTCCTAATTTCTGATTATCTAATTATAGTCGGAACATTTTGTTTCACTCTTGGTAGCAAGTGGTGATAGCACACACACTGCATGCAATGACGATGTTTATTTGTAAGACTGCAGTTTAGACAAACATGAAGACAGTCATATTTGTACTTGGCTCTGCCACTTCAACATGTGTGAAAGAGAGACAGTACTGCACATAAGGTAACTAGCTATATGTTTAAATGGCAAGCAGCCGCTTTCAATGACCTTGGAAGAACTACATTTTCAGCAAAAGGAGAACACAGATTTGTATGAATAGACTATAGAAGTAAGATTTTTTTTTTTTCAAAAACTGTTTTTCATTCTAATCATCCTAAGGAACTCATGTGGCAAACAAAAGGATTACAGCACTAAGTTAATACAGGGATCATCCAGGACTAGATTGCTTCCTAAACTCATTAACAGGCTTAGCTCCTTATTGGCATGTCAGGATTCCACCAGAGACCTGTGCTCGTTATATCTCTTTAAATGCCTCATAAGCTAACCTGTTAGAAAAGGGTAAAGTGGAATAGATGAACTGGACCCAAGCATGCCAATAGACCTTTTGTTCTTTGAAAATGCATCTAAGCCAAGAAAGATCCAAAGCTGGTAAATCCTATCTTTGAGAAACCACCCATGTTGTTTTCAGATACTGTTCTGCAGTCACTTTTTAGGCAAGCAGGATGCAGTACCCACCCTGGGTATCTGTGCAGGCATCTGCTCCCCAGGGAGAGGGCTGACCAAAATTAAACCACGGCTTAGAAGCAATGTTTGGGAATCACATAGGCCCCAGTGTGCCTTCATAGGCACTCACTGCTCCCCTCATTCAACCAAATAAAGTGCTCCAATACAACGCTACTGAGATGGAGTTAATCCTGCATTATGACACGTAAGCCATCAAAATTAAGAGAAATGTCAGCGTCTTTTCTGGTATGCTAATCCAGAACACAACAGGCTCAAACTAGCTACTAGTTAACATGATCAAGTCATTTTATTCTCAGAAGGAAATAAGGTAGGTAGAAGAACATATTAGCACGTAGTTTCATATTCACAGCAATTGCCTTTTTCTATATTTGCGTGCGGTCTCCTCATAGATGAAATGGGAGAGGCACTGGCCTAGAATAGACAGATGGACACCAAGCACCACCACTTCCATTTATGCATGTTTTAATTACATCTTTTTACAGATATATGTGCACACATGCATGCATGCATATGCACACCGACATACTGAGTTACAGCATTTATTTGAATTGATACTAAACATATTGAGGTCATCATTTACATGAACGCTTTGAACAGGCATCAAATTTGAGTTCAGCAGTTAAGGTGGATGACATTATAGCGGCCGTGGGCTGAAAATATACACACAGTTACTGTGGCTCGAGGGCTCGAGGTTAACTTGCAGTAACATGACAAAATGTAATTTGCCTAGGACTTTTACTCTGATTGCATCTGGCAGTTTTATTCATCTATCCTGTTTGCATCACCTGCAATGGGTGGGATTTGTAGAGGGTCCCGAAGTACTGCCTTGTGAAATTGTTCTGAAAATATTTGTCATGACCAAAAGGAAAAAATGGGCTCTTCAGATGTATTTTTATGGTTTCCTCAATCAAGAGTAGGGTTTTGTGCTTCTCATCTACTGTAGCCTCAATAATTATCATACGTTCTCCTGTTCTTATGTCTTAGTTCAAACTGCAGCACAAAATTCCATTTCCATTCACCCTAAGGGTAATTACCTTCATGCCAGTGCCATTGAGCAGTGTTCCCTTGTTTTGACAGATGCAGGATGCCCTTCTAAGCATTTTCTCTGAGCTCTTTTCAGAATCACTTATCAACCGTCACAGGCTGTAGCGTTGTTTCTCCCTAATGTCCAACTCACTCTCACTGACGACCTTTAGCTCTCTCCTCTCCTCCTTTCTTTGTATGTGGCTGATTCTCTCCCTCCTTCAGTTCCTCTCTTCCCTAACTTTCTTCCCCTCATAAACCCATCCTCCTACTTCTTCCCCAGCCTTAATTCATCCTCAGTATCTATCTGCCTTCTTTGCTCCTGTTCTTTTCTATGACCATCTCCAGCAAAAATTGTGTTTCCAGAAACTTTCATCCACTATCAAATTATTCCATTCTCCGTAAGTTCAAACATCTTAACTACTTCAAACTCTACTTCTCTAACACAGTGAGGATTCACATCCTCAGCTGACCTACCTGTTTGCCACTGTGAACTCACTCCTTGAACCCTCTCATCAGCTTTTTCTCTGCTTAGGAATTCCCTAAATTCTTTCAAAGAAACACCGACAAAAATCACTACGACTGTCCATCATCTTTTCGTTTGTTTCTTCAACTCAAATAGTCCTTTTTTTTTTTTTTTTTAAAACTTGCATTCCTCCTTTAACCCTTCCTTTTGCCTCACTAGCCTATGCTGGCTGAGGGATCACATTTTCATTCCAAATCAGTCTTCTTTTCCTCAATCCCTTCATATCCTTAGGAGTCTAACAATAAATCTAGACTTGCCCTTCATATTTTAAATGCTTTCCTGAACTACGTTTCTGTTCTCGCGGATTTGGCAATCTTTGCCTCTTTGATACAATAACAACCGGAATATTTTCTTAGCAGCACTAAGCTGAGTAACAACTCATATTTGTTTTGGCACTCATAGTTTTATGTTTTATACTGCATTATGTTTACAAATATATCTTTGGACAGGATAGCTCAAGATATCAGCACCGCAGTCCAAGC